TATATATATATATAGATCGGTGATGGGTATATTGATACTTAAAAACAGCACGTGTCGTAAACATACAGCATCTATGCAGTTGATATCAGCGCCATAATAAAGAAGCAGCTTAGCCATTCCCACATCCCCAGTCAGTGCTGCAAAGTGCAGAGGGGTTTGTTGCACCTGTGTACGATTTACGACAAGTTATTTTAATTTAAGACAGGTAAATTCGTCGTAAAAGGCGACCGCCCACGTTGAATAGATCACATTTATATTAAGCAAGAACGGCATCGATATCGAAGGACCGCTTTAGTCCTTATTACATCACTCGGGACAGGATAGGGGTTCATGCGAAGACAACCAGAACGAAAAACCCGGCATCCGACACAGTCCAAGTGTGAGGATCTATATTGAACAATGACATGACTTCTTTGTATGGTCTGCTGTCTCCGGTGCATGTACGGTACACAGCGATTGAGGTTCGTGTGCGCGTAGTCTCGTAAGACAGTGAAGTCAGCTTGACAACTCAGGGCAATTACAGCGGACAAAATGCCACTTGCATACATATACGCTCACGTATATGTCGGTGTTAGATGTATCCGCCGAATTTGACATTTGCTCACGCACAAATTTGAAGAAAAGAAAAGTATCTGATCCAGTAACGATTAGACTAACAAAACATGCGACGATGTATACATTCTTAATATATACGATAGGCCTATACCGTCCTACATATACGTATTCACAAGCTGGTATGTGCAGACAATCTATTGTGTCATAATACATGCCAATATATTCCACACGTCCATCGCTTTGCCCTACCGTATCTCTCATCTCCACGTCAAACCCAGCTGCCAGCATGGCTCGTACTATGTCGTATTTGCCATCCTTGATAGCTCTGAAGATGTTCTGCTCTACGTGGTCCATGTTTGCTTCGTTCTCCTCATTCTCAACACTGTAGCATATAGAGCACGGATTGAGCAATTCACCCAGTAAAGACCGAACTGAATAACTCATTATTTTTGTTATGTTTTGCAACTCACCTCCCTCCCCCTTCTCCATTCTTGTACAGACAGCTAAATGCTCACGCAGCTTGATACACTTTGAAGTACTACCAATACGGGCGCTACGAGCTAACTTGAAATGATCGTGTGCAGGTAGCAGTATGTATATAATTTTTTGGTTGCATAACAGAAATCATATACCCGAGTACATTGCCTAACATTTAGGAAAGATA